AACAAATGCTGGAATTGCTTTGGGGCTTTTGGAATTTTCGAGGGCCGATGGTTCATAGTAAGAAAGTGATTGGTTCATAAACCTTTCCGATTACCGTTTAATTAGGATCAATGTAGTCATCAGATTATACTAAAACATTTTAGACAATTGACAATTGTGCTACTACAACGGCTCATATTAATGCCACTACTCCACGATTTGGTGTACTATTATAGTTGCTAAATCTATATTACAATAATTAGTTGTTATTTACTACTACAACTACATATTTTAGTGACATTCTCAAATCGCCTATTCCTGCGAGGACCCTTTTTTGTTGTTGTTGAAAACCACTAAAATTTAAATTTAATACAGAAGGCATTTGGAGCTACCTGTACTATAGATACCGGTCTGCGTCCTATTGGGCTACGTATCGATTTCTGAAGCCGTCAAATATATATAATCAGCTTGGAGTTATGAAACTTAACTTGTAGGAAGTCTATGTATATACCAACAATGTTGGTTTGACCGAAGTGTACAGTTGCGCTTATGATATTGCGGATCACCGAAGCTGCACGTATACTTCACAATCATATAATTACCAAGCATTCGTCGGATGCAAAAAACCAGGTGAGACGTTTTACCAAATCATTGATGGGCAAACAATTGATAATACGATAAAAAGTATAGACTTACTTTCAGCGACTTTTAACAACGAAAACTCAACAATAGTTTAGGTATTTATATTTCATTTACTCCAAATCAAAGAAATTAACTCGCGTAAAGAAGAATGAAACTTGAGTAATTCAAATCTTAATATTTTGGAGGAGTTTCATCATGATTTTACTAATATGGTTGTAATAATAATGGTTGATGAAATAACTTTAAACTCGAGAAATATATACAGTTTGTCATATTGGTTCTATACTAAGCTATTTATTCGCGAATCTAAACCTGATTATTACCTTGACCCTATCGCCAAAACTATGCGTTAGTGAACAGTTAAATTTACTTAAATTTTCCCCCTACCTTACCTTTTCACTTACAGCGTCTTTTAAGACTTTGATTTACGTGCAGTTTAACAATTTCAACACAAAACTGTGCAATAAACACATTTACATAATCATGATCAAAATGATTACAGCTGGAGTATTTAGATCACACAACATAGCATCTCGATGTAGTATAATAATGTATTGTCTTTTTCAGGAAATTTGGTTTCCACTTGTTACAGAGTATTACAATAAAAATATATAAATAAAATGTTACAGGACAGTGATAAACATACCAAATGAATGCGATAATATATGAGTAAGCCACGGTATATATGGTGGTTATAGAGGTAATATCAGATTCCATTTTACAAAATATGAAGCTAAATTATTTAATATCATTGATTATCCATAGTAAATCTTAAAATGAAAATAAATACATAAATTATTATTATTAATATTTGTATTACTTGTATCGATTACCATTTTCAGTAGTATAATTATTAACGGCATCGTTATTATTGTTAAGTTTATTGATGACACACAGATTGTAGTTACTGGCTCAATCGGTTATTGATAGTTGGATGCAATATTCTTGGCATATGTTTGAAATTATATTATATTATATTTATATTGATACGTTGACATGATAGGTTCATAGTAAACAAACACGTTTTGCTTTGGAATTGAAAAGATGAATGAAGTCGGAAATAAAGGATCTTCGGAAACGTGCACGTTGGGTTTGTGGTGTGCACAGGCGTATTCCAGATCTGTTATAATTGAAATGCTCATTCAGTTAGTGCGAGGGGTCATGCATTATTTTTTTTATTTTAGAAAGAGCATTTGTCTGATACTGATCTTCTATGGATGTTAGATCGGCTCCTGTGATACGTTTTGCTGCCTTTCTGGGACGTTCGAGTAGTTTTCTTGGCAGCAATTTTAGCGTTTGCATAATAGCAAATTAGGTTGAAGGTTAGGACACCCTGAGTTGGGGACTTAAAGAACAGTTCTATCAACTTACTATCTACTCTTAAGTTTTTCATTACCCTAATAAAGCATAGTCTCTGGTTGGCTTTCTTTTGGATGTCTACAATGTTCTTAGTCCAATCAAGTGACTTTAAGACAATAGTACCTAAATATCTGTACTCTGTAACTTGTTCTATAGAAGAATCATTTATCAAAATCTGGGTATGATCGAAGGGGTTTCGACGAAAATCAATTATGATCTCTTTTGTTTTAGTTACGTTTATTATTAGGAAGTGGTCATTGCACCATTTAACAAACTCATTTATAACCTTAACGTATAGGTCTACATCTTCAGAAAAATAACCTGTGATAACAGTATTATCCGCATATTTGATGATGCTGCACTCTCCTGCATTAGACAGTCACTTGTGTAGAGGGAGGAGAGCGCGGGGGAGATGATAAAGCCCTGGGGCGCCCCTGTATTCACAATTCTTGGACAGGATAAGGCGTTACCTAAGACCACTCTCTGTGGTCTGTCACTTAAAAAACTCTCTGTATCCACGGACTTAAGTGGGATGGGACTTCCATATCAATGAGTTTGTTTATCAGAAGGTGGGGGATAATAGTGTTAAAAACATTAGAAAACTTCACGAAAGTGGATCTTACATTGGTCTTAGCCTTGTTAAATGGGCATATACCTTATGTAGGTATGTTAATACTGCATCATCAACTCCTCTCTTACATCTGTATGCAATCTGCATGAGGTCAATGTAGGGGGAAGTGTATTCAAGAAGCTACTTCATCATTATCTGTTCGAAAAATTTCATGACACTACAGCTTAGTGAGGGAAATGGGTCGAAGATCATTAAGCTCCTTCACGTTCTTCCCTTTAGGAATTAGTCTTATCACGGATGTTTTCCAAGAGTCGAGATGTATTCCCTTTCCAGTGAAAGGTTGAAAGTTCATTAAATACCCCGGCTAACTGATCCCTACAAAGCTTGAGTACTTTGTTACAGAAACCATGCATACACCGTCATGTCCTGGGGCTTTATTAGTTTGAAGTGCCCTAAAACATCGTCTTACGTCATGTTCAGAGATACAAATTAAATTTTCAAATTCACTTAACATTTGCCTCAGTCTGAGTGTAATTACGTCATATCTACAATAGAAGTCATTCAGTTCATCTAAAAAGTCCTGTGTTATGTCAAATCCCAGAGTCTTGGGCTTTTGTTTATACCCAGTAATCACGTCCATCGTTTTCCAGGCAGCATTTCGAAAGTTATGTTCAAGCTTGTTTTTATAAGAGAGTTTGCAAGAGTCAACTAAGCGTTTAATTTCCCTTTGTACCTCTTTGACACGCGTCTTGCTACCGTTGAAGAGTGCACCATTCTTTACCTTCAGCAGGTCTCGAAGTTCCTTTGTAACCCATGGCTTATTGTTGGAAAACATTTTAAACATTTTATGGGGTATAATCGTGTCGACACAAAACTTGACATAACTTGTGAAAGCATCAGTAGCTTCGTCTAGTGAACTCGCTGAGTTGAGAAATAGATCCCAGTCCGTACAGTCAAAGGCTGCTCGGAGTTCCTCCGTTTTATAGTCATCAGTCCACGCGTGCCGTTGCTTAGTGACGGGCCGGCTTCTTTTCAACTTTTGCTTGTAAGCCGGTAGTAAGCAGATGTTTTGGTGATCGAACTTTCCTAGACGATGACACGGTTTTCCAACGTATGCTAAAAGTATGTTACCATAGCACTTATCTAGGGTAGCTCCATTTCTTGTTGGTATGTCAATATATTGTTCAAACGTGGGAATTACACCGCTCAAGTGACATTGGTTAAAGTCACCCATTGAATGTGGGGGCATCAGGGGATAACGAAGCATGACGATTTACTTTAGCAGCTAGTATTTCACTAGCAATTTCAACATCAGCACGAGGGTGAATGTAGACCACAGCAATGAATATATGGGGGAATTCACGGGGAAGATAGAAAGGTCGTAGTCCCACTGTAATAAGTTCAAAATCGACATCCTTGACCTCCCAATTATTACACCACTTTTGGTTGATATAAAGACATACGCCTCCTCCTTTGCTTTTCCCTGACTGTTCTGTTCTGTCTCCTCTTACTACATCAAAGTGTGGAACATCAATAACATTTGAAAATAATATCGCTAGCGATATTCGTTTGTCTCGCAATGTGGTCAATAAGGAATCTAAAGATGACGACGTTTCGTGCGCCGCTGCAACACTTCGTCAGGTGATAAAAACTAATGTAAGCAACCGTGTTGTATACATTGTCGGGAATACTTTCTTTCAACCATATTTCTGTAAATGCCAATAGACAAGAATCTCGGTATTTGTTCATGTATCTAGAAAGTGTTTCAAGTTCTTCCATTTTATTAGGCAACGAGTGTACATTCCCAAATAGTATTGTAGGGAGGGCTGGTTTTGTTCCTCTCTTTCTCAGCCTTGTCCTTATTCCGCCCCTCTTACGTGGTTTGATCTCGGATGGAAAATCCTCATATAAACTGACATTAAGTTGAATTATATTCACAAACAGTTTTAGTTGCAGCTCGATGATACCCCACCATACCTGACATATTTTTCCCGACATTTCAGATAGCTTATGATCCAGGGATCAAGCAAGATCTAACAATAAATATTGAGGATTTTACGAATAAAAAATGTTATGGTCATTCTTATCGAATGCTTTTTAAAAGTCTGTAAAAACAAGTGATGGAGTTGCTTTGGGGATTTAGGCATTTCCGAAGGCCGATGGATCATAGAAATAGTGATTGGTTCATAAACCTTTCCGATTACCATTTTGATTAGGATCAAGGCAGTTATCAGATTATACAAAAACATGTCAGACTATTGACAATTTGGCTACATCAACGGCTTACATTAATGTCACTATTACGTGATTTGGTATACTGTCATAGTTACTAATTTCCAACTACAATAAATATAAGTTATCTACTACTTCTACTACTACTCCTACTATTATTACTACCACTAATACTACTACAACTACTATTACTGTAACTTCTACTATATATATGTAACCCCCATAAAAATGGCAATTACTAAAGTCATATTTTGTTATTTATTCTTTTTCTATCTCTATCTCTCTCTCTCTCTCTTTCTATCTCTCGTCTCTCTCTCTCTCTTTGTACCCATTCATTTCATCTCATACTTCTAAGAAACAAACTCTGCTTTGTGCTCCTTATGCAGTTTAGTGCAATATAGGTTTGTTCTCACCCAGATTATTTTCTTCTCCCAGTTTAAGAACTCTTGCTGGTAGATAACTTAGTTGCTAGAGCTTTGACCATCAATAGCACTGGACACAGTGTTTGGGATTATATTGTCTCCCACAGAATTCGGTGCCCTCTCCCCTTTGTCTACTCCTTTTAATAGAACCCCCTTTTCTTAAATGGTGTTTGCAGGTAGATTGTGTCCCTTCAGGATGTTGCTACTGTTAATCTCTGTATTCAGGAGAAGTATAGTTTTAAAGTGGTTGTTCTAAGAAAAGGCAAGCTTTAAGACCATGCTGTAGAGAGCTGGCTTGGAGTATTGGGTTTGAGACAAAGGATGGGTCGTTTTAGTTAAGGATGCAAGCTTGGTCCTATCACATGATGTTAGATAACCAATAAGAAGTCTAGTTGGAAGGAAGGGTAATGTGGGTCTGGACAGTTTAATAAAACTTTGACACTTTAAGTTTCCAGCTCATTCTCTGCCCAGCTGCCATTGCTTCGAACACTGCCCTGTATATATTCAATCTCCATATTGGAGCATGTGGTAATAAATATATCTGTAGCCTCTACTGATTTTCTTCTTCGAAACATATACAAAACGTATATATCAACTTTATATTCTTCAAGTTTCCCTAAGTTTAAGAGAGTTTCCTGTGTTATATTTGATTGGGCATTTCATCCAACTTCAACATTATTGAGTTGGTTATCATCCCAGTTCCTGATTTTATATTCAAGCAAGTGTTGGCTCTTTTACTAGGTAAGAACACCATATTTTGCTATGTATGCTTTCATTATTCTGTTGTATGAAGTGTGTGTATATCATGATGATATCTATATTTTGCTTGTATGACTCTGAGTGTAGTTTGAGACTGTAGCATACATTATATAACTTTTAATACAGTTGTATGTTATACAAGATTGATTCTTTCTGCTGATCAAACAATTCAGTTAAATGAGAAGAAAAGATTATATGTAAGATTATTTTGCAGTTAGTATACTGATTCTGATTCTATTAAGCCAGCTGCTATTACAGAAGCAGGCTGTGAAGAAAAGATATATGAAGAGTTTTGGTGGTTTGAGATACTTGGTTGTAGATAAGATTTACTAACCTTCTCTACTGATGTACTGGCAATATGTATTTGCTGCTCATTATGGTTATGCGCAACGTGGAGCATTATTATGCATATTCAATTGCTGGACTTTTCCATTAATTGTAAAAGTCAAATGTTATTTTGGCAAATTCTAAATCAATCAGATAGATCGAACTATCTATCTGTGGCATCCCTATCACATTCATTATAGTTCATAATGATAAAAACTCTACTGAACAGTGCACTATGCCATCTTCATTGCATGCAGTTATTGTGATGTATACATATATATATATATATATATATATATATATTACTAACATGGGATAAGTACTATTTTGAAAAGGATTGTATCATGTTAATCATGAATTGAACCAAGGTATAACTGAGTAAATTAGTTGACAGAATCGCATTGATTCTTCCAAAGTTAATTAGATAAATCAAGAGGCAAACTCTCATTCTTTCCTTATTTAATCTATTGAGATACGACCTTGTTATATAGATATATATATATATATATATATCTTTCCCTCTCTTAAGGAACGTTTTGTTAGAAGAGTTCTGTTTATTATCCTCTTTTACTAGGTGGATCTTTTACTAGATCGGTCTTTTACTAGGACTTTTACAAGAGTCTTTTAATTGATGAAATTCATCAAGCTTCAAGCTATCGTTCAACTTGTTCCTGTGTTCTGCGTGCTGCGACGTCCTCTTCAACGACACAGAGACGCCGGATATATTGATCAACCGCGTATCGCGAGCGAGTTCATGAACATTTAATAATTTGGTTACTTTAATATTTAGATAATAGTCGGTTTAGTTATAAGTTATAATACCTTATAATGTTACAATTGTAAGTTGTGGAAGTTTTGTTTATTTCAATGTTTACTTGATTTGCAGTTGTTATTGACAACGAGCTAATAAAGGCATTGCCAGGTTATTTTGTTAAAACGTAACCTCAAGTGTAATTTCTTTATTTATGGACCTGGGAAATTGTGACATTCGGGTTACATATATACTATTACTCAGGCGCGTACGCGGGGGGGGGGGGGGTGGTTAACCCGCCCCCCCCCCCCTTTTTGGTTATTATGTATGTAAACCCCCCTAAACCCCCCTTTTGATTTTATTGTTTTACTTTTATTTTTGTTTATACAAAAAAAAAAAAATAATAATAATATTTTCCCGAGGCCGACCTGAAAAAGGTGACCTTACCCCCCCCCCCCCCCAACTGAGCAAAATGTCAAATTTCCAAATTTCGAGACCCCCCCCCCCCCCTTATTCAGCGGCTGGCTGAGTCGTTATTTCGAAAAATCGAAATTTTGGGACAGATTTATAAATGTTAACCCCCCCCCCCCTTGAAAAAAATCCTGCGTTCGCGCCTGCTATTACTACTACTACCCATAATGCTACTGCAACTGCTATTACTTGTAATATGATAATAATAATAATAGGTCATATTTATAACGTGCCAAATACATTGTTTCCAGGCGCAGTGGTGCTGTTGTCCCAGTAGCCATTAAGTGAAGCAATGTCCTTACACGACATAAAGCCAGGACAACAGCACCACGAATACACAATATTATTTAGCAGAAAAATACATTATGTTACGCTATGTTACCTTACAAAATCAAAATTACAGTTTGTTACAAAAAAATGAATACATAAACTTAATCAACGTAATGTTCATACTACTACTACTACTACTACTACTACTACTACTACTAATTATTATACTGCAGAAATACTAATGGTTATGCTTTCACGGTGGGGATGGGGGGGGGGGTAATCCTCCATAGGACGTTTTTCCCTTTTATGGGATTAGAAAATATCGCAATCTAGGGACTTCCTCCTTAACATTCGAACATGGTAAAATATGGTAATTTCGTTCGCATAACACTATCATCGACGTTGTTTCAAACTTTACTTCTAGTTATGCAAAGTATCCCCGACATCGAAAAGTTACGGGTAAAGTAAGCTGGATAATGCAATTAAATAGTGCCATTCTCAAATCGCCTAGTGCTGCTAGGACACTTACACAAAAACCTACAATTAGAATAATAATACAAAAGGCATTTTAAGCTACCTGCGCTATGGATATTGGTCTGCGCCCTATTGGGCTAAGTATCGATTACTGAAGCTATCAAATATATATAATCAACTTGGATTCAAGAAGCTTAACTTATGGGAACTCTTTGTACATAGCAGCAATGTTGGTATGACGTACGTGAAGAGGTGCGCTTATGATATTGCGGACCACCGAAGCTGCACGTATACTTCACGATCATATACTCAGCAAGCATTCGTCGGATGCAACAAACCAGGTGAGACATTTTACCAAGTCATTGGTGGGCGAACAATTGATAATACGATACAAAGAATAGACTTACTTTCATCCACTGTTAACAACGACAACTCAACAATAGTTTAGGTATTAATATTCTATTTACTCTAAAAGCTGGGAAATGAACTCGCGTACATAAGAATGAAAATTGAGTAATTCAAATCTATATATTTTGGAGGAGTTTCATCATGATTTTACTTATATGTTTGTAATAATAATGGTTGATGAAATAACTTTAAACTCAGGAAATATATACAGTTTGTCATATTGGTCTCATGCTAAGCTATTTATTCGCGGATCTAAACCTGATTCTTACCTTGACCCTTTCCCCAAAAATATGCGTTTCTGTAGTAGTTCAATTTACTTGAATATTTTCCCCACCTTCCCGTTCCCCCTGACTGCGTCTTGTAAGACTATGATTTTTTTGCAGCTGAATAATTTCAACAAAAAACTGTGCAATCAACACATTTCTATAAGCATGATTACCATGATTATAGCTGAAATATTTAAAACACGCAAACTATCATCTCAATATAACTGATAAAATACCAAAACCCGAACCCATTTTTGGATTTAGATACTTGAAGATATGCCTTTTCCAGCCAAATGAAAACTTATATACGCTAACGCTGACCAGATTTGAGAAAAATGCCCTCCAAATTCGCCATTTCCAAGAAAATTGCAAAATAACTTCAACTTGGTGTGAAATGCCAATATACGCAAATAAAACTTGGCATACACATTTGTCCAAGCACGTGACAACTTTCTGCCAAGTTTGGTAAAATTTTATGACGTCAGCGTAAAATCATTGCCAAAAATGATGATTGTACTACGCATTACGTATAAACCAGTTTAATGCGTACAAGACATTGCGCGCAGATGAAAATAGTGTGAAACTGACTGCAATGAATTGACCTCTCGAATGATTCCAAATCTCTTATGTATTCACACAGAAAATTTTGAGTAAATCGAATTTGAAAAAGGATCACTAATCAAATTCTGCTGAGATTCCGTCCAATTATAACACGTATCGGCCATGACGTCATTTTTCAGACTGCTTTTCTCCCCGTTCCCGTCCTTTTTTTCCTTGAAATTTTGCAGTGATATTCCGAGTTGCAATAAGCAGTGCACCCCGAAGCCGGATTTTGAAAATCATCAAGAGGGCCAATTAAGACGCCATTTTATACTCTGCCTGATTGTGTTAGTATAGGCGGTTGTTTGTGCCACAGCACGTGTCACCTCATGTTCATCATGCACCAAATCCTATTGGTTTTGCACGTAGTGCTTGTGAGCCCTTTCTAGGTCCCTTCCTCTGTTCCGATTTCCTTCAAACTTCGTAGGCATAGTCTCTAATTCCTTCAAGGTCACTGAATTCTTCGTTCTCCAAAATCCCTCATGCGTGATCGTCCAGGCACCATTTCTTCCGTTCCTGGCCGTCTTGGTGGCCTTTCTTTAGCCCTACCTATCTCAACTATCACAGAAGCAAGAGACTTCTAACAAAATGCTCTGGATAGTCCGAGAGAAGCTCTTTCGCTTGAAAGGTAGAAACACGTGCGTCATTGCACTCAAATCGTTGTGACACGATTGCATGTCTAGATCTCTTTCAGTTTGTTTTATGTTATAATTTTCTGAGGCATGTGCCCTGTGTTGTATTTCATGTGGCATATCTTGGTAAAATGCTCAATTTCAAATATGTTGAGCAAAAATCAACTGCTACCTTCGCTATCTCACCTTACCTTTGAACCGTTTAGGGGCTCTCATTGGTTGTAGAGTATGTTCGACTACTTGTTTCCTCGTCATTAACTGTAGATCTCTGAAATCATTAAACTTGTCATGGTTGTATTCTTCCCTTCATTTATTAATATCTTCCTTTTCAAAGACAAAAGCTATTCATTCTTCTTGCGTCACACCCACTTGCCGTTGTACGTTTTCTCCTTTCTAACAATTTTCAGTTATATGTGAATTTGTTTCTTTGGCGTGTCTTAACAAAACAGTTATAAAGAAAATTGATCAAAGATGTGATCAGTTTAATGTGACCCGTGTCCTGGTTCTTCACATTACTTAAAAATATCGTATATCAGCGTATCTTGGGGTGGCGGAGAAAGTGTGGGGGGGGGGGGGAGGACTGCATCAAATAATAAAGTTAGGCATATGTTATCCATGCTTAAATGTATAGAGTTTCTGCCATCTATGATTAGAGCTTTGGAAAAACGTAATCGAAAAGTTACTGAAGCACACTTTTTTTAAACATCGAAATGGCTGATCAAATACATAAAATATATCTTTCGGATCCAAGACATAATCGTTTGTTTATAATTTGCCTTTTAACAGGAAGGAAACTATTCACTCATATTCAAACCATTTCCTTTTATGCTAATTCACTATTGCAAAAAACACTGATAATAAGGAAATTTCCTTTTGGAGTATATCGATGAAAACAGGGGCAGTAATTGCGAGGAGACTGATCATTTTTAGGGCAATTTAAGGGATGTCATCCCCGGAGTGCATTATTATAAAACGATTCACTGTTCCTATTTGAAATCTTCTTCTCTCGGTCTACTCCATCTCGTATACGAAATCAAAATTTGAAAGGCGCCACAAATATAAACGGGATGATTAAATGTTATCCGTCGCGATAAGAAAAGAAAGAAAATACAAATGAACACTGATTGATTGCGTTGTGACCTAGCAAAATGAGTACAATCATTTTCGAAGGCTTCCCAGGAATAACATTTTGTATTAAGAAAAAAAATGCAAAATGTGCGAATATCTCGGACGGGGGGAGGTTTAGGCACACACAAATTACGTAAGAGTTCTTTGTTGTAAAAAAATGGTCTACGTTTAAGTTTCTGAAGCCCCCGACTATCTATAATGAACTTGGATTCGGGTAGCTAAATTGATGGGACTACTTTGTATGGAGCAGCGCGTCCAGTATGACAGAGGTGTACAGGTGCGCTTATGTTTTTTTTTAATCCCAAAATGCTGCACGTTTTCTTCAACGTCCCAACAATGGCAAAAGTATCAAAGATTCGTCAGATGCCACAAACTAGGTGAGAAGTGTGAATACACTTTATCTTTTCGCCATGTCCATTTCCTTAAACGCATCAACACACATGTTCGTTGAGGTGGATTATTCCTTTCTTTCTTCTTCGTTTAATACCCAACGTTTAATGGATGCGGACGAGGAGGGCTCCTACCCCATCCTCGTATATGGGAATGTTTTTCATATATTAATTTATTTCTTTATTTTAATTTCTGTATTTATTAATTTTTACTGCGGTAAACAAGTCAGTGATTTTTACTGTAATCGATTGCAATGTTACATAACACATGAGTCAGAAGAAGAAGATATACCCAAACATTTCAGATTGTTAAATGAACTTTACACGAGGAGGATAAGAACAAATAATATTAACAAACACATATTTGGACATTTTTCAATTGATTTTTATCTTAATATTTATCCTTTTTTTCAAAAAGAAAGCTCGGAATATAGTCGCATCATTTTTCCACATCTCTCGACTCGTATCTGCCAGTCTAGTACACTCCTAGAGTGTCAATTAATCCAATAATTTATATTCTCTTCCCAGTTGGTTCTCGATCTCCCCTTTTGGC